TTAATTAGGCGAGTAACTTATCACACTGACAGGCGTTCGTTATAGACTTTCGATACTTTTGAAGCGATCAATCAGTTCTCATCACATATTACGTTACTTATTTTTTTTAAATTAAATTCACTTTTAAATTAATATCTATAGTATGTATCTTGAAGGGACTTGCTTGTTTTTTGTTTTTTTGTTCATATACAAAAAATATGTAATATTGATGTTCGCTGGCGTAATTATCTTTATTTCAGTGTGTAGGTTTTGAACTTTCATTTTTATTTGGCATTTCTCTAATACTACTACATATGTATGTGACACATACGCTTCATTATTTTACTTACTAATGAAGTTTACGCTTCTCGCTTGCGCGCTCTTTATTGTTGTCGTTTTGTTGTTGATTTTGTGACCGCTGTGTTGTCTTTATTCAGTATGCCACAAGTATTTATTGTATAAAAAGATTTGTACAACATTTGACGACATCAACAAAGCAACGAAGGCAATGTTGATGACACTTTCCACTCAGGTTACAGACTTACCTACAAGCATTCATACATACATATGTAAGTAGTGCTCAATTCACTGTTTCTCTTATACTTTCAGCAGTTTTATTTGGGGATGGATAGCATTCGCTATATGCACTTCGTCCTATAGAACAAATTGTGAAAATTTAATTTGAAAATTGAGTGAACCAATGGCTTGTCCTCGTGTGCAGGATATAAATCCTTTCCGTGAGCTAAAATTTAAATTTATGCGAAATCCGTAAATAGTAAAGTTGTAGTTATCGCACTACGAAAGGTTTTTAATAAAAAAAAAATTACAAAATGGTGGAGGTTTGAAAAAAAAGTTTTGTATTTTCCTTCTTTTTTTGTGTTTCGGAATTTTTTAAAAATAACAAAATTCTTTCGAAAGCTCTTCGTAGTGCGATACTATAAGGTATAAGAAAGCTCTGTGTAAAATTTCATGTGAATCGGTTGAGTAGAAGTTCAGATATCATGCACACCGTTTCTGGAAAAGTAGTTATGAGAAAAACGAGTTTAAAGTGTAGGAAAGACTGCGAAACGGTTTTGTCGGCGCGTCACAAATTGAGCAGTAACGCGGAAAATAAATTTAATTTGGAAAAATTCTCTTAAGCACATTTCCTTGAAGGGTTATACTATAAAAATATACAAAAAAAAAAGGATTTTTTCGAATTTCTAAACCAGAATACCTCCTTAAGTGTGGATATGTAGGCATGGATCTAATTAAATCCTACTGATTTACTTTATGTTTATTATCTGCAGTTTTGGCAGGGAATATTTTGTTATATTTTTTTTTTTTTGCTATGGCAGCAAACCATAAACAACCAAACCACAACCACAACCGCAAACATCAAAAACAAAACCACCTCACCGTTTATAATAAGCTTAATTATTATTATGCTTTTGCACTCAACCCACTCACACTCACGCACACACATATACCAAGGCGGCGACCTAATTTCTTTGCTCTGCACTTTGCTGTGCTTAAACACGCGCACCACCGCACTGCACCGCCAAACTACCAACCGTCCAGCCAAGCAAACGAGAAGCGCGGCAACGAGTGTACGTGTATTTCATCATTCGACGGCGGTGTCTAATTGTATGCCAAAGCGTATTTCAGACATAAATGGCGCTTTACAAGGGGATTTCCTTATCACGATTCAGTCGTAAAGGCAAATTCGTACAGACAAACCTGCAGCTTCTTTTCCCCTACTAATACTACATAAAACATACTACAATAAACATTTGAATTCTTAATATAAAGAAATTTTTAATTCCTATTACGAATAAAAAATAGTTAATTTAATAGTTAATTAAATAAAAATAACTAAAATACAAATTMATTTAAAATTCGATAAATAACGAATAAAAAATAATTTATTTAATTTAAAGTAAATTAAAAATAAATAAAAAAAAATTTTTAATTTGAATTTTTTATATATTTTTTTTAACCTGTGACTTGGAATTAATTTTTTTAAACACAATTTTTAATTAAAAAAAAATTATTTTTAAAATGAGTTTTTAATCATAAATACCGTACTGAAAAAATACTAACCCCAAGCTTATTATTAAAAATTTATGAAGAAATTGTTTTGGAATTCACATGTTTGAGTACTCCGCGTTCCACCATCTATCTTTTGAAAAAAAAACTTACATTCATGTATTTAATACAATATCAACACACAGGGTTTGTCCGGAAAGTAATAGGACTGATTTTCGGCCGTCGCAACTGTCCTTCGGGCGTGCGCGCACCGACTTGATTCGGTAGAGGCTAACGCTAACGCGATTCGGTGACACCAGGCCTTTTTGGAGGGCCGGGAAGAGGTCGCTGATGAAGACCGTGCGCAGCCACAGCGCACGTTTTTAAATAATTGTAACGAAATTTTTAAATCGACTCAGCCCTATTACTTTCCAGACAATCTCTGTTTTCGTAATCTTGTTTATATTTTTCACCTTTAATTAAAATGTTTCATTTAAAAATCAGTAAAATTCAAAATGTTCATTGAATAAAAAAATTTGCAACCCACATTTAGAGTGCGCTTCCCCATTACTTTGGACCGAGCATAAGAAAGTGATGCGTTTCTGGGATGCTTACCACGTTACTTGTTATTTCTTGCTATGCTATATTTGTATGTATGTGTGGTCGTAACTTTATGCAATGTTTTGCAATAGTTATAAAGCTATGCGACTCTTTTCTCCATGCAATGTCTTAGCTAGAGTGCGCTCGATGCCGATGCAGAGAAACTAAATATGCTCTAGCCTTCACTTAATATTTGTGCCGGTACGTAAGAGCTGATATGCGTATTTGTGTGTGACTGAGATTATGTTAACATTGCTGTCCGTGCTATAGTTTGTGGCATAAAGCTGCTTGCTTGACTTCGCTATGCATTATCGTGGCGCTTCCGCTACGTGCGCTTGTACTTTGCGAATTTTTGCGCGAATGAGCACTGAAGTGAAGCGATTTAATACACAAAAATACTTATTAGCATTTTTTGCTGCGAGAAAGTGACTTCACGTGATCTCAAAACGAATTTTCGCACAGCTTTTGATGCGTCACTGCTGATAGCAGACTTTAAGTACGCGTTCAATTTGCATAAGCTTTTTTATTCAGCTTAGTAAGGATGAATAAGAGAATTGAACACAAAATCGACAATATTTATTTATTATTTGATAATAAGTACAACTTCCTGAATGTGTAATTCTTTTAAGTGCATATCTTCGATTTAAGCTCCAGCTCTAATTTTCACAGTAAGCGTGTCTTTCTTTTGCATATTTCACCTTTCTTCGCGCTTAACTGCATTAGAAACACATTATGGCCGCAATAAAAAGCCATAGGTCCCTCTATCATTAATGGCCTTTGCATAAAACGAATCGTAAATTCCATATAAATGCACCTGCGCCAACGGCAATCACTATGCACACCGGCGGTTATTTACAGCGCATTCTGCGCAGGCATCACTACTTTTATGGCCTCACAATCATATTAGCCGTACTACACAACCATTATGTATTGCCGACGATAAGTGCTACTATGTTTCATTGTGCACCTTCTGCTGCTTCAGTAGCACAAATCAAAACCAACTACTGACTATTGCTACCGCTCGTATTTTAATGCCAATTAAAAACTTACCGCTCGTATGACTATTTAATAATCGTTGAGCTAAAAAGAGTATAACAATGTGCCCACATACGCATGAAAGTGTATAATTGTTAGCGTACTATACTTCTCTAGATATCACACCTAACCTGTGTCTTAAGTATACGCGTAAACCATTGTAACGCCATGTCGATTTTTTTTTATTATTTATTTTCATCACTTCTTATAGCGCCCGTATCCTTTGAGTTTGCTCCTACTAGACACAACTCTTCAACGCTATGATGGTTTGCCAATTGTTGTGTGTCTGTTTACGTTTTTCTCGTTACTCTTTTTATGCTCAGCTTTTCACCGTCTTCAATCTCTTTCATTGTTGCTCTCTGCGCAGAGAAACCAGTCTCCGCTATTCAACGCACACTATGTTTGCTGACTCTGCGCTCACGAAGTTTACTTTTCTCATTATGTGTGACTCTGCCGTGTATCGCGTAATATTAATTGAAGGAATCAGAGCGTTAGGGTAATATCATTTGGAGTTGAAAAACTTATTTCACAGAAATTTTAGAAAAACATATGCGTGGACCCTAAAGCGCCTATCTGCTTTAGCACAAATTTACCGATACGCCTTTGTGCCAATCGGCTGCATCTGCCAGTTTATCAATGGAATTGATGTTCTTGTTTGTGATGCCCTTGTCGTACTATAACTCTCTCTCTCTCTTCCTCTCTGCCTGCCAATTTCGTCGTAGAGTTTGGTTCTTATTCGTTCGTAGTAGCACCTGTTGACAAGAGCTATTCTGCCTGGATTTCCAGGCTGGCGATGTTGGTGGTGTTGATACTGGTTCCAAGATAGACGAAATTATTTACGCCTTCACAGTTATAACTATCAACAGTGACGTGAGCTCCAAGTCGCGAGTGCGACGACTGTTTGTTTGTTTGTTCCTCTTGCCCTCGTTCACCACCAGACTCATTTGCTTTGCTTCCTTAGCCAATCCACAGAAAGTAGAACTAACGGCGCGGGTGTTGAGGCCAATGATATCAATATCATCGGAGTATGCCAGCAGCGATAAAGTTCTGCACCTCGAATTATTTTCTCCAGCAGCAGATTGAAGAAGTCACACGATAGGGAGTCGGCTTGTCTGAAACCTCGTTTGGTATGGAACGGCTCGGAGAGGCCTTTCCCGATCCTAACGAAGCTTTTGGTATTGCTCAATGACAGCTTACGTCTGCGTTAGTTTTATGGGGATACTAAATTCAGACATCGCGATCCAAATCCTAAATTACTGATACTAATCACTAAGGATAGTTGTTACTAAAAAAATTTGATAGTTGTTTTAAAATACTTTATGTTATATTATGCCTTATCACCTTTACTTACAATACATGTTTTCACCTTGTCGTTACAGATCTGATATCAAACCGGAGAGTGCACGCGATAATATTTTTAATCCATACAATAGCTGCGGCATTGACAACTCCAATCATCAGCCATCGAACAAATCTGTCTGCAATGAAGTCACCAACTCTGCATCCAACAACAATTCTCTCAACCATCTACGTAGTCACGGCAGCACGGAGTGCAGCAACGGCTGTGAACAGGACTTCAACGGCGATGAAAATAATCTCAACTGCAACAACAGCAACAAACTACACTCGTCCACCAACGCCGATATTGCCAACTCATCGTCTCTGAGCGTCGACGTCAACAGCAGAAACATCTCCACCAACTCCACCGCCATCACCTCACATGCGACTGCCAACCATACTACCGCCAACAATGCCTCTTCCACCGCTTGTACGCACAGTACCACCTTCAACAGCACCGCCAACACCGCCACTGCTCATTCGCCAACTCTTTGCACCTCTGCCGGCCACAGTACACACACACGAAAACGTCAACTCTGTAGCAGCAATCTCGACAATGACCTAGAAATACTCGACCGTGAACTGAACGCAATCAATGCACCAATGCCACTCATTGACCCAGAGATCACACAAGGTGCTGAACAGCTCGAGAAAGCTATCTCGTCCCGGAAGCGTTTGCGCAGCGAGGATGAAAGCGATCGTTTAGTGCGCGAAGCACTTTCCCAATTCTACATACCGCAGCAACGTCTCATTTCCGCCATCGAAGATTGCCCACTGGACGTGGTCAGCGTTGGAGGCGGCATGGGCGTCGGTGTAGGCTTGGGACTAGGCATGGGTGTCGGCGTAAGCATGGGTATGGGACCAATGTCCCCGAGTAAACGTCAAAAGCTCGGTAATGGCGCTAACGAGCTCGAGCTCGAATTCGATCTGAATCAGAATCAAAAGGATTTTGAGGTAATTATGGACGCACTGCGTTTGGGCACGCCTAGTCCAACACCAAGTGTGGGCAGTGACTCATGTGGCCAGGCAGCGATGATGAGTGAATCGGCCAGTGTGTTCCATAATCTGGTGGTGACCTCATTGGAGACATGAAGGTATCAGTAAAAGGCAGAAAACTTGCGAGTTGCGCAGGAATAGGGGACAAGAGAGAGATTTGAGATTAGGCGTTGAGCGTTGAGCGTAGCGTACAAAAACTAAACAGGTGTTAAAAATCGGACGCCGGACGCTAACAGCCTATTCACACTGTGAATTTATGCGGGTTGAATGCAATTTATATAAATAAAAAGCATTTTTTTCCAACGCATTGTTATGTAAATTTAATATTTATGTTAGTTAAAGAACATTCTGAAATTTAAAATGACGTTAAAGTGGAGGTGGAAACGTACGTACATAATTTATAATACAAAAAATTTGGTCAAACACAAAATAAGTGTGAACACGCCACAATTTTGTTGTAACTAAAATAGGCAAAGTGAAAAGCACATAATTTTAAGATTTAGCTTAACGCATTTTTTACAAATATAATTAATATTTATGCAAGCAAAAGGCATAACAAAAAGCATATACAAGTGCATATAAACATATAATTATACAACATTATATATGTACATATGTACGTACATAAGTTAGGTATTAAAAAAAACTAAATCAAAGAAAATGTAGTCAAACAGCTGACAGCATTCATACATACTCATATATGTATGTATGATTGTAGCGTAAACGAGTCATGTGACAGTAACATACTTATGTAGAGATCACGAACGTAAAGTGACTTAAGCAGCTAGTGAAGAGCAGAAAGTGTCTGCATTTAACAACACTTTTTCCAAATTGCGCTTTTTAATTTAAAAACACAATCACAACAGCTTAACTGAATTGAGATTATGCTTTAATTGTCATAATTGCTCAGCTCACAAGTTAATATATGTTCGAGTAGACCTAAAAATTTTGCCAAAATACTTTCAAAGCTTATATAACCGTTAAGAAGATTTCTGCAAAATGCAAAGAGATGTCAGTTTCCTAGTCGAAATGCAAAAAAAATTAATTCTTTTATAAAAACACGGTTTCACACGGCACACTGACTATGACAAGGCAAATCAACGTCGGTTTGTAAATGGAAAGACGAAAAATAAAAACATTTACAACAGCAACTTTAAAAAGCAGAAGTGATCTTTCGCCGTCATTTGCCTCACGACCAATGTTATGGAATAACCGTTTATCGTTTTTCGATATATGCACCTGCTTTATCAAAAAGTTTCCTTACGAAAGCAAAATTTAAAAAACGTATTATAAACTAAAAAAATATTGCTAAATTTTCCTAAAGTACACATAAATATGTACTCTTATGTAAATTATTACATAACCTAGTTTTCGAGAGCACTGTATTTTTTGTTAATTTTTTTACAACTATTATTATTATTTTTTATTTTTGTTATTTTCATAAACTTACTATATGCCATTATTATGCTTATCTTTTAATTCTATTTGTTTACCTTACTGTAATATGTTCTTGGACTGGCAGCAAATTTACAACGCTTTAGCAAATTTCAAAATAAAATCGCCGTCACTTCCTTCAACCAACTCGTTTCAGAACCCCAACTTACACATCTACATATCTTCGAAACATGCAAAGAAGTTTGATGGCAAAGCAAAAGAAATCAATACATTTTAATTTCAAAAGTGCAATTAAAATTTTTTTATAAAACAAATTTTAGAAATACAAATAAATGCAAATTATACACAAAAACACCGTTAAGCCTAGACTTGCAAATAGAAACAAATAAAAAATGTAAGCAATTGTGAGCTTTTACAAATTTTGTGTTAACATTGTTAATAGAGAAATGGCATGCATCGTTGTAATGTTTTGAAGAGAAAAGAAACAGATTTATAATAAAAATTCCAGGAAAACGGTTTGAAGATTTGTTTATTTCAAATAATGGCTGTGATAGTATTATTAAGTTAGTATTAGTACGCAAACAGGCAAAATAAAAGGCAAATCAAACAGAGAAAATTAGTAAAGTGTAAAAAAGAAACAATTGTAAAAAATAAAAAAGCACAACAAAAAATTTAAAGAAAAATAATAATTTAAGTAAATCTTAGGTTTAATTTACAATTAAATATTGAAACTTATGAAAAATAAATACAAAAAGCAAAATACTTAATTTTTTAAGATAAACAGTACACAAACACAAGTATTATAAGTAAAAACATAAAAAGCAAAAAAAAAAACACGCAAAGGCAACCATGTGAACTCAAATAAAATGAAAAATATTTTTTTTATTCATTTAGCTTGTTACACTTTTACAAAATTCTGCAAAACAAAAGAAATGATGGTTTCAGCTCTTTATTTCGTATCAAATGCTTAACTAAAACACTATTTGCGGCATAAAAATTTTACTAAAAAGTACAGGGAAAGGTTAAAAAATGCACATGCAAAATTGTAAAACGTTGGTGTACAATAGTATTTATTTTTGTGTTGTTGGCTGAACTCTGAGCAACTTCTGTGTATCTACAACGTGAACGGTTTCTTTTGCGGTCCGCTTCATGGCAGCATATAAACTAATATTTTAGTTGCAATTTATTAAACTTTTGTGTTCCCATTTTGTACGAAAAAACAAAAAAACAAACCCTTACATGTTTTTATAATTGTTTGTATATTTTTCTGAACTGAAAAATAAAACTTGTTCACTATATTTTTCTTGTTTCTATTATCTTTAAGTTAAACTGCAATGCAAAATTAATGCATAAAAAACTAAAAAAAAAAATAAACTACACAAACTATATTAGTAAAAAGAAGTTTCTTAGCTGTTACTATCTAGTTATAGTTTTAATTTTCTTTTTTATTAAACATACATACATATATATGCATAATTGCTATTATTATCATTACAGTTATTGCATAAATAATTAACTTGTAATTACTTATAATGTAGAACAAATAAACTGCATAAAGTTTACTTTCATCATAAAGAGAAAATCTAAACAAATTTACAAAAACATACGCAACATAAAATTACAAAAAAAACAAAATAAAAAATAAATAAAAGTATTGAAATATTTGTAAAAAAAAAATGTTATTTTTATTTATTTCTATTGCTCTTTAGAAAATTGCTTTACTTATCGTTGTTCTAGTAGCACACTGATTTTGGCGCGTATTTTAGCTAATTTTATTTTCGCATTTGGTTTTGTGGCGATTTCTAAATACTTGACTATAGTTAGCAGTTTTAGCATGAACTTTCTTTGCCTCTCTTCGCTCGCCTTTTGTCGGGCTTTAAAGTAAGCAGCTTTTTATCTCATCGCTTTTAAACTTTCAGCACTGCATGTTGCTCTTCTAAAATGGGTACTTGATGCTACACAAATATATGTACATTAGCTAGTTTGTATTTTTTCCATATTCACATTGTAGTCGTTTAGTGTTAGTTTTCTGCAATTTTCATTACACCAGCACTTTCGTTTTAATCTATACTACTTTCACGAATGGAATTGTCCTCTGGTTTAAAGTTGATTTGCCTTCGACAATATTCGACCAAATTAATGCCGAAAAATTTATTTCACACATAGGATCTGAATGCATACCATACACGCTTATGATGCATATACCCATTTTAATCGAAAGTACCAAAATTATTCCACAAAGAGAAAGAATATCTCTTTTTTTTTTTTTTGTATTTATTCCACAGATCTATTATTGAGCATGTCTATTACGATTTGTAGCTCAACTCCACATCAGTTGCAAGTTTACAATTTGATATTATCGATAAGTGCTCAGCCTGTCAACAAATTGTACATTAAGTTTTTTAGTACAGCTATTTTGTGTTACTATCGTAATTTCGAACACGAGACCTTAATCTAGGTACCTTTGAAATCCGAAATCTGATTCGTAATTTATTCTTAAATTCTTTCGTTATAATTCTGTAACTCGTTTCGAAACTGTGTAGCTGCTATTCATTACGCTAAATATAATACTAAGCACATTTGTTATAATTGCATTATTTTTTTATTTTTGCAATATCTTCAATGAGCTTAATTTCCGGTATTGTAATGAACTTTCTCTCAGAGCTGCCAAACTGTTTCATATCAATTCCAGGTACGATTGACTGACAACTGCAATATCGAATTAATGGCACAACCAAACCGATTTAAGGAAAGAAAATTTTTAAAGGCGGCAGGTTAAGTTGAATGTCAACAACAACAAAATCTACAAGCGGGTTTTTTTTCTTTTTAAAGGAAATAATGGTATATCAGAACGATTAAAAGAAAAAACAAACTTATCTACACATATTAATAAGTATGTATTATAAAATGATTGTCGTTGTATTTCAGTCAAAAATCAAGCCCACGCTTACGAGTTTATAAACATTACTCTTAGATATTGACAGCTTACATTTATTGATGAAAATATAGGGATATTATGGAATAATTTTTGCAATAACATGAAAAAATGTGCATCAAGTCTGCTTTGATATTCTCAATCAAGAATTTTGTTCTCGGATTCTTTCTTTATATTGCATATACTCGAACTAGCCCTTAGATAGATTTTTAGATATCGTTCCTAAATTTTGCACTCGCCCTTTTCTCCTTTCATTAGTCAGAACTACCTATAGCGAACCACTATAACAAATAGCTGCCATAGACGCTGAACAATCCAGATAAAGTGCTGGTATGACTCGTATATCAGTTCGATTTCCTATAATTTTTTTTCTTTTCACAACGTCAGAGCCGAAACCAAAATATGTATGTAATTGTAAAAGTTGGCGTAATCTGTAATTCTATCTATCTTTGTATCTTCAACGTCTAACGGAAATAAAATTTTTACGAAGAAATTTTGTCAACATATTGCATAACATTATAAAAAAAACTTTTTTTAACTGTTATCGAAATCGATTATATTTCATATGCAAATAACAACTACGAAAAAATATCGTGTTTTATGAGAAAATTATATTTTGAAAAAAAAAAACATATTTATTTTATGTTTGTATGTATGCATGACATCAATTTAATACACGATATACAACAAAAACATTTACAAATTTTCAATTTAATGTCAATTTTTTTTTCTAATAAATATGTTAAGGTACTATATAACGTATATATAATACATTTAAGTATATGTACTATAGACTTCGGATTTGTAGATTTTTGCACAGTAAAACGCACTTAATATAGTTATATGTATAGTATATCCTCAAAAATATATATACTTATAAATTGAAAGGTTTAAACAAGTTGAAAAAGGCAGTGCTTTTTATTACAAAAAATAAAAATTGTTAAATTCAATATAATTTGCTTTAGTGTGATACAATAGTAAAAATTATTAACAAGGAATTTCTGAAAGAGAGCATTAGAAATTATAATATATATACATAAAGACTATAAATAAGCATATTAATTTTATACAATTTATTAAAGTGTTTATGTGTAATTTTTACTAATCGTAAGTGTAATTAATATATACATAAGCCATTATGTAGTTAAGCTAACATTTTACAAAAGTAAATAGTGTATTAAAGTTTTAGCAATCGAAAAGAAAACGAACAGAATCAAGACATGAGAATGTGTACAAAAATATAAGGTAAAGAATTAAAAACTAGCATTAATGGAACAAAAATTGTAGTTTTGAAAATAAAGAACAAAGAAAGTCCAATATCGCATTTTAAATCAAAGTCAGTTTATTCGTATATAATATTACCTTTCGTATCTCGTGAATCTTCAATAAATGCGATCTCTCTTACTATGATACAGCTTAGAAACTTTGAAAACAATGAAAAGAACACGGCCGCGAACCTATTACATGTACATACATATATACAAATGTATGACGCCCCGAGTCGACTTAAAAATAACTGACTGTGCATCCGTTTCTCTGTATATACTAGTCTCTTAGTATTAATTTGTCGGAACCACCGACCACTATTGCATATAAACTGAACGATCGGAATAGAGCGTATGAATGAAAGAGTATGTTGACGAGACATTCGGCGCGAATAACAATATAAAGATGTACTTGAGAAATATAAAAAAGAGAATCGCAAAACCAAAAGCGAGTCGTCGAAGGGCTTCTGCGCCAAATTAGAAAAGACAACCGAAACTCCTATCCATGCAACCAACTACCGCTAAGCTAATACGCACAAACTGTGGAGAATGGATTAGTTGCAGTGAGGAATCACTGCAAAATCTATTCAATACGCATTTTTCAAAGTGTATGGACACTTCTAACTTCCAACTTGTAGGAAATACCGAAGAGTATGACCCCTCCGAAATGATGACGAAGGACAGAATGGATTGGGCTTTGAACTGCTTTTAACTTTTTAAATTAAATGGTATGCGGTATTTTCCCCAGCCAAGATGCCGAATGTATCAACAGTGCTGGTACCAACCTGATGACAATATATAAAGGATAAATTAAGGCTTAGTTACATGCCTATCCTTTGAAGAGAGGAGGGCAAAGGAGTCCCAATTTATTCGAAAGAATTTTGTATAGAATATATCCAAATAGTCTAACCACACACTCGAACACACTTGAAAAAATTTCAGATACCTATGTACATTGAAATAACATTCCAGTGTTCCATACACGCTCACACTTTATCTGGCTCTCCCACATTTCAAATCATTCTAAAAAAGGGTAGGTGGCGCAGGGGCACGCGAAAACTTAAACATTGCCTAAGACAATGGCGCAAATTCCGAAGAATTTTTTTACATACAAATTAAACGATCGGAATCAATGCTTCTATGCAAATCTATTTCATTTGACGGGATATCTATCGAAATTTTGTCAAGGCAACGGTAAAATTTTGAAAGAAATTTGTCAGATCGGATCTTTATGGGAAATAGGTGCCATACAAACTAACCAATCAAAATCAAGTTCTTTTAAATAATGTTTTGTATTTGTTGAGGGTATTAATAGATT